GGAGGGGATCTGATTGAGGTGTTTAAGATTATTAAGAGAATTGATAGTGTTGATGCATCATCTTTTTTTTTCATATTTAATAGTGAAAACAGTAAGACTAGGTAACAGAAATACAAATTTTGGCAGGGTAGGAGTCATCTTCAACTAAGACAACTATATTTTTCTAACAGGGTGGTTTGCCTTTGGTATGTAGATGCAATTAATTTAAAGAAGTTTAAAGGAAAGTTTGATTATAAGAAGGGCTAGCTTTTTAGTGTTTAGTTTAATTTAGTGGATAGAATTGCTTTGTCGGACCAAACGGTTCCTTGTTGTCCTTTAATATTATTTTATGTAAATTAACGCGCACACAAATATATATATCACTGAATTAGTTGAAGAAATGAATAAAAGGAATATTGACTACTCAAGATTGTCTATTAGCCTCATGACTACCAAATTGTCTTAGTGCAACAAACAAAATAAAACAACTAAATCTACATAAAGTATATATTGTAACTAAATAGCTGAATGTTATTCCTAGAAAAATAAACTAATCTGAACTGCATGTACCAAATTATCCACTAAACTATTTCAGAAATTACAAATATTTCTGCTCAAGTAGCAAAACACATTTTGGTTTTTAAACATTATACTTTAAAGGATAAAAAAAATCACCATTTAAATTGACAATCAGCATCACTTTCAAGATAATGAACATTACCTTGTATGGGATTAAATTATTGGAAATATCACGTAAAACTAATGTTAATTTTTAATTACTAAAGACATATCACCAGAAATCTTTACTGAAACAGCTCTAACATTTTCTGTAAATACTCTAAAATTACTGATACCCTCATGAACTTTTTGAACAAATTTATCTAAATTATTTATGCAACTAATTGCTTGTGAGTACATGAATTTGTTAGTTACAAGAGTCACACAACAAAAATTTAAAGAAAAACAATCGATACTGCAGTTAATCTCACTTAGGTCACTCACGTATTTTACATAAAAAATAATTTTGGTCAGTTCTTTATACCGAGTGTTGTAACAAGTAAAAACATAAAATTACTCAATATGATGTAATGTAGACCCACTGTAGTAAATAACATAAAAACATGTTGGTAATTTGAGTGTTACAAAGAAAATAAAACACTATGAATCAGTAAGAAGTATTTATAAGTTCTATGTAAATTAAAATACTTGTACTCTGTAATTAAAGTATTGTTGTTATCTGTTTTTGTTTATTAGTGTTACCTTCTGGAATTGAAAAATATAAATTTAATGTAAAACAATATTTCACACTTGATAAATGTAAAAATATTTTGTGTGAGTTGATTTCTTATAATGAGTATTAAGCTACTGTGTTGAAATTAAAATTTATGTTACCTTTGAATACAACAGGAACAATTTATGTAATACGGAAAAAATTCTTATAAATTAATTATCACTGTCAACACTTGCTGCGACAATACAAAAAATTATTACAACCAGTAGCCTAAGCCTAGTAACCTAGTGTGACTTTATTATTAGTTTATGTAAGGAAAATTTACGCCTATGACTTAGGTGAGTTAGACCTAAGTTAATAAACATATATGCTAAGGCTGCAGCAAACTCTTTAAAGTTTTGTTTCTATCAGCTGAACTTGTGAATCATTTAAATTGTATTTGTAATATGGATTAGTTTCTCAAGTTTCATTGATCATTTTATGATGTCATCATTGCGATTCATGATCTGGTAGCCTAACACTTTTTTTTTTTTTTTGGTTGAAAAATACTGCTTTAAAAATTAGTATTCTGTTTCTGGAAAAAGAGTATGAAACTATTTTACACACCTAAAAATGTTTCATCGCGTAGAAGATATAATAAAAATTACTAACAACACTCACCTGATATCCGAAAAGATACTTTATGTTTATTTCAAAATGAAAACAAATTCATTACCTACGACACCGCACGGCAAATTTATAAACTCAAACGCCACCGTGTGAAATCTTGTGTACAATTTAATGTAAATTTTAACAAAAATAAAAATTGCGATGTTTTGTTAGTAAACATACTTCTCCAAGTTTTTTTTAACACGTTAACTACGTTTCTAAACGTAATAATATACAAAATAAATAACTTAGAATTAGTTTTTTATTATTCTCTATTTTTCTTACTAAATGTAAATCCTCACAAAGATTACATAACTTTGTAAAGTTTATAAGCAAAAGTTTCCTTGGTATTATGAAGTGATATGAAGAAGTCATAGTTTTTCAAAAATAAAGCTGGAACTGGTATGTTAAAACTGAACGAAATCAGGCACATCTATTCTTAATCTTGAAATTCTCATCAAAGGGAAAACAGTTAGTTTACCCGACTACTCTTAGCTGTGTAACAGGACTGTTTGTCATAATTACAGCGTGTTGAAAGCACGTAACATATTCATTAGCATATCGTGACTGGAACCTTCGACCTAGCAATTCCAACTAGGATTAGGCAAAGTCCGACCCTAAACGGACTAGCATATTATTTTCCTCTACTTTCTATAGTAACTTAGAATTATTCCAAATTACTTATGGTTTAGTATCCGCACTGTCATGGCGGCAACTTACAGTTCAGGTTTCTTAAATTATCTTGTTTTAGTCATTTTAATCCTGAATTTTTTTGTTAGATAACGTCTTCTGTTCACAAGGATATTCCAGTGTAATATCTTGAGCCTGGGTTGAATTAATTAAAACTGGAATATCTTTTTCTTGTCAAAATATAACGTCAACTTAAACCAATAATGGTCAATGCTTGTTTGTTTGTTTTGAATTTCGCGCAAAGCTACACGAGGGCTATCTGCGCTAGCCGTCCCTAATTTAGCAGTGTAAGAATAGAGGGAAGGCAGCTAGTCATCACCACCCACCGCCAACTCTTGGGCTACTCTTTTACCAACGAATAGTGGGATTGACCATCACATTATAACGCCCCCACGGCTGAAAGGGCGAGCATGTTTGGTGTGACGGGGATTCGAACCCGCGACCCTCAGATTGCCAGTCGAGTGCCTTAACCACCTGGCCATGCCGGGCCATGGTCAATGCTGCCGGGGAATAAAAGTCACGAGGTGACATCGTCCACTGGCAAAAAAAAAAAAAAAAAAAATAGAATAAAAGTGGTGATCAAACCCAGATGCTTTTTTTTTGTTCATTTCTAATTGGCTTTTATCGTGACTAGTTTGGTAGAGATTCATTTTGAGAGAGATTTAAAGCTGGCAAGCTATTTAATGATCCAGTAGCGATGATCGTCCACTTGTATACGCAAGTATGCACACTGTTTATTATGCCATGTATAAATCAAGATTGTTTTCACTAACGTTTAAATGTACCCAATCTGTTTGTTTTTCACGCAACTCAAAACTCAGCCAAGTATCAACAATATAACATTTCCGTTATTTCTTGATTGAATATGTTGTTATTTGCGGATTTTCATGTCTAATTCCTGTCGGAATAAGTTTCACTCGACCTAGTACTAAAATTGCAGGAATAACTAAAATAGGCCATTGAAAAAAAAATGGGAGCAAAGAAAATAATAATTAAGCACAATGTACAAGCATTAATCGTTTGAATAATTTTGTATTAATTTCAGTCGCAATACTATTTCTGCTGTAATGTAAATGCTGTTAAGTAGTTTAGTAGTGGTATAAAAGCATCACCCGATTTCTTTATATCATAATAATTGTTTAACAGGTTCGTAATGATACTGCAGTTCTGTTTCGTAGCTATAATTCAAAACAAGTACGTTAGTGTGAATTTTTCTGGTATTATTTCAAGAAGTATCACTTTATAGACATTTCGAATTTGACCAGATTTCATTAATTTGAATTTAGACGAAATGGCTTATTGCAATATCCAAAAGAAGTGCTTATAAATATCCTGCTTTTCTTTAAAATAATAACCAGGAACCTATTTTATTGTTTATTAGTGTGGCTGTTACAGAAAAACAAACAAAAAATGTACAGTACTACTCGGAATGCCCCTAGTGCCTCAGCAGTAAATCTGAAGGCTTATAACGCTAAAAAAGACCGAGCTTCGATACCCGTCGTGTAACTTTATGCTTTACTACAAACAAACAAAACTATTCGGAATCTTAAAACTTGTATCTTCGAAAGTTCCTAACAACGTGTAACGTATTTAGAGCTCTTGAGCATGTCTAGCGCCATCTTTTGATAGTTTACAAAACTACACTAGAGAAATTGGAAACGATGTCAACGCGAGTCAGAATCAAATTCAATCTTCTCTATACAAGATGAGAACAGAAATGTAAGTTACTAAGGCTTAAATCGAACAAATACCTGGCCTATAATATTAATTCTCACACAGTAGTCTACACACATTTTTTTTTTTGTATTTCAATATCAAACACATTTCTTTTACCAGCGGCTTAAAACTATTAAATTATATT